ATATATATATATATATTAAATCTCTTCCTAATTTATTAAAAATTTAAATTTAACATCTTTAAATTAAAAATATCAAATTTAATTTTAACTAATTAAGTCTCCTTGAGACTTCTTTTTTTCTTTTTTCCTTTTTGAAGAAAAACATACGTAATTACAAAAACATTAATTTACAAAAGTTTTAAAATTTTATTTTTTGCTTAAAAAATTTTAAATACTCTTTACTTATTTTTTTAATTGTCTATAAATTTTACACTTGTATTTCAAATTTTGAGATATCGCCCTTATCTTCAAAAATTTGTAAACGGAGGACTGACTCCACGTCATCGAATTATTGTTTTTCTTCCTTGACTGTGCGTTTCTTTAGCTAATTTTCATTTTCCTTTTGATCTTGATATATAAAATCATTCTAAAGCAAATCTAAATGATCTACTGCATATTAAGAGAATCTCAAAGCCAGATCGAGTGGAAGCAATCAACTACACATGCTTAGTTACAAACTCTGTAAGTATTTACTTCCACCTACCGATCTACGTACCTTCTTCTCCTTCTGCCTCTTTTTTTATTTTTTTTATTTGATGATTTTGTAGTATTGGTTATAGTACATGTCTACAACTTATGATCTGTGCTTGCACTCCCTTCTCCAGATATTGCATGATTTTGGTGAGATCCATATTCTACTCCAAAGAGTCTAGATTTACATCACACCCTTCTCCAGAGATATTGCATCATCTTGGTGAAGTCTATACTCTACTCCGAAGAGTATAGATTTACATTAATTATTCTCAAGCAGTCGGTGGAATTTGCTATCTGACATTGAAGAAGCTATATATCTCAACTAGGTATGTAAGACTTTCCATTTCTTCCCAGATCGCATTCTTCTTTGTCTTCTTCTTCTTTTCTTTTTTTTTTTTTTGGCACCAAATGATAGGTTATAAGCGTTTTTCTTTTTTTCAAAACTCTTCCTAACTAATTAAAGATTCAAACTTTAATTTTAACCAATTAAATCCCCTTGAGACTTCTTTTCTCTTTTCTTTCTTATAAAAACATATGCTAACCAGTTGAGAAAGAAAAAGATAAAAAAAAAAGTTGGGTAAGGTAAATGTAAAATCACCTATTTTTATCATAATTTTTAATTTAGTCATTTCATTTTTAATTTGTAAATTTAGTCACTGATCACCTTTCTTTTCACTTTCAATTGAGTCATTTTTTGTTATCTTAATTCATAGTCACAGCTAATCTCATCATTAACTCTCACCATGCATAATTGAGATACTCAACTATTTCTTGAAATTATCTCTATTTTTGAACAATTTTATATTTATAATTATATTGTAAACAACTCCTTAAAATTTTAAAATTATGAAAAATGATAAAAAATTAAGTGAAAATATGAGCATACAGGGTCATCACTCATCAAAATTGCAAGATAAGTTACCTAAAAACAGATATACATCGAGATTGGGGTTTGAAATAGTGTTTTAAAAATCAATTTGAAAGTTAAATCATTTTGACCTTTAAGTCTTAATTTGATCCATTTAACTAGTTAAATCATTTAAACTGTCAATTTAATTTAATATGAATAAATAAATATTGTGCAGCATTTAATAATAAGTTTGTAATGGTTTTACTAATTTAATATGAATAAATAAATATTGTGTAGCATTTAATAATAAATTTGTAATGGTTCTATTAGTTTTCTATCCTGTCTACCATGGTGAGGATAAAGTCAAAATTTAATTAATATGTTTCTAACCTATAGGTATAATATATTAATAGGTTTTTATTAGACATATTAAAAATATAATAAATATAATTTTTTAATTAATTTATACAAAAAATTATAAAAATTAATTTTGAATTAATTAAAATCATTTATATAAAT